AAACCCCTAAAAACCCAAAAAAAAACAAAAAAAAACCCTAAAAACCCTAAACCCAAAACAAAAAAAAACTAAACTCTAAACCCTAAAAGCCCCAAAAATTCCCAAACTCTAAACCCTAAACCCCCAAAACCACAAAAAAAAAAACGAAGGACTCTTGGCCTAGTGACCAGGTCTCGGCGGCGCGAAGGTCTCCGGCCCGGGCCGCGGCCTTGGGGAGTTGGGATTAGGGGGACCCTTGGGGCTTTAGACCCTCGGAAATAAGGTCTCAATAAGGGCTTAGGGCTTAGATCCTTGTTGAAGGAATCTATAGGAGATAGGATTAGGGTTTAGGGTTTAGGGTTGGGGATCTAGACCCTCTCAATAAGGTCCCCTTTAAGAGAGCCGAAACTAGGGTTCAGAAGGGTCCCCTTTGAGGGGTCTCCCCAATACTACCTAGGAGGGAGTTAGGATTAGGGGGACCCTTTGGGGATTTTGTTTTTTTAAGGTATAGGGCTGAGGCTTTATAGGGGGGACCCTTGGGGATTCAGAGTTTAGGGCTTTAGGGCTTAGGGTTTAGAGTTTAGGGTTTAGGGTTTAAGGTTTAGGGTTTAGGGCTTAGGTTTTACAAAGGTTTGGGTTTAGGCCTTGGGGTTGTAGACCCCCTGAATTAAGGGCTAGCCTCTCAATAAGGGCTTAGGGCTTAGAGTTGAGGGTTGAGGGGAGGGGGGCCCTCTGAAGGAGGCCTTCAGCAGCGCCGAGGCCGTCGCAGCGGAGGGCGCCACGCCGGCCTTGTCTGAACTCTGGGTGTGGGGGTTTTAGGGTTTAGGGTTTAGGGTTTAGGGGTTTGGGGGTTTAGGGTTGGGGGTTTAAGGTTTTAGGGGCTTTGGGGTTTAGGGTTTAGGGGTGTTAGGGTCTAGGGTTTGAGGGTTGAGGGTTGAGGGTTTAGAGTAGGGGGGGCTTTTCGGAAGAGTTTACCTAGGCTTCATGAGGTTCTAGAGACTGCATTGGGGTTTATCAGCACTTTGTCGGGCATGGTGAGGGCATCGGGCTGTATGCAGCTATTTCAGGGTTCCTTGAGGGTTTAGGTTTAGGATTAGAGGTGGGTTTCGTGGTGTAGGGCTCTTTTTCGGGGGATTCGCAGAGGTCAAGGGGTGGGGAAGGTCTAAGATGATGTTTCTGTTCAGAGTTTAGGGCTTCGGGTCTAGGGGCGCGGCTCGCATGGCTGGGCTCACGCACCCTTTCCTGCAAGTCGCTGGCTTTACCCGTAGGCCCCTAAGTAGTTCCTTTTGGGATTACCTTATAGGATTCTACATATGAACCATACAAAGGAACTACTTAGGGGCCTAGGGCCTATGGGTGTACATTGGCGCCTTCAGTTTTGGGTTAGTGGTTGCGGTATGCTGAAACTGATTATCGAGGGGTCGAGCGCCAGACCAGTTCTGAAGACCTCGTCCCACAGACTTCAAAAGCCATTCATTAAGCAACATTGGAGTTGCGGGCCTACGTTCACAGCTCAGCAAGACTTCCAGGCTCGTGATCACAGCCAAGAAATTTCACGATAAAGTCTGTCCATATGCTTTTATAGTGATAAGTTATGACTATTGCTTTCATGACCCACCTGCTCCACATGAGTACTTGGCACTCCTGCCATACACTGGCCGGGCCGAGGTGAGCCCACCCCCAAGTTCTACCGTCTGTGACGATGAGCTGAACTTTAGCCTGTCTGTCACGACAGAAGAATCCGAGGTCAGTGGCTGCAGGGCATGCATAAAGGGTTTTGCTGTTGATATCAGGTAGCGTGTGGGGGCTTTAGGCGCTTCGCAGAGCTTTTTTGTAGACACTCAGCGGCAGAAGAAGGACAGGTAGAGACGATCAACATACAAGACGTGGAGGTTGATGTTCAAGGGCTCATGCTTGGGATTGAAACGGAGATTTTCGCGATGATGGACATGGCATCGAGAGTTGCACAGGTGACGAGATGGAACAAAGAGCTAGCCAAAGTAGTCTGGTGGGCAACAACATTGAGGACGTTTGCGCGGTGGCCCACGATATGTGTGTGTGTGTGTTTCATTCTCCCTCCCTCTCTCTGTCTCTCTCTCTCTCTCTCTCTCTCTCGCTGTGCTTCTCTCACGTTTCGGGTCTCTTGCATTCGATGCTCTGCTCCCCTGCAAATCTCTTGTTCCCTCTCTTTAGCTCTATGTGTTGTTCTCTCCCTCCCTCTGCCTTCGTACATTTGCGTTGCTGGCATTCGTTGGCTCTTTGCTGCTCTTTGCTGTTTTTCCTCGCTTGGTTTACGTCTGGTCACCTCCCGCGCTCTAGGACTGGAGATAGCTCCAGCCTGGTCCAGCCCCGTCTCAGGCCATATAAGGTAATAATACTAATAATACTAATAATACGAAAAGTACTAATAATACTAATAATACTAACAATACGAATAGTACGAATAATACTAACAATACTAATAATATAAGGTTCTCGGTGCATCCTTTGCTCGCGAGTTCCTGCTCGGCTCCAGTCCTTAGCTTCGCAGGACCTCAGGGCTAGCCGGAGGATCTACCCATAGGCCCCTAAGTAGTTCCTTTTTGGGATTACCTTATAGGGTTCTAAATATAAACCACAAAAAGGAACTCCTTAGGGGCCTATGGGTAATTCAGGTTCGCTACCGGGCTTTAGAACACGAACTGTGAGCTGGGCGAGTGATGTCGAGCTGAACACTGCGGGAAGGATGCAAGGGCAAGTCGACCTGTGCCCAGCACGAGCCACACAAGGAAACTAAGCCCTGCGAGTATGGCAAGCGGCAGTGCGGGAGGCTGCATGGGGGAGAAGACGAGTGATGCGACGGTCACAAGATGTCAGGCAGACCAACATCTTCCCTACCACCATCACTGGTGCGAGTCCTTTTGGTAGAGCTGGTCAGAAGGGGTGGTCACTTGGCCTGATGGATGAGCGGCCGTAACTGTGGAGCCGCCATGTGGCCTCGGGGGGTCGCGCCCGATTGGGGTTTAAGGTACTGCGACAAGCTGACAAACTGGACACCCAAGCAAAAGCTTGCCATGACCTCCGCACATGACATCGGCGAATCTGGGAGATTTGATCAAGCGGCCTAACTTGCAGAAATCAGGGTCATTGGAGGCGAGATGAGCTGCACTTCGTTTGAAACAGATATCACAAAGTTTCCGAGAAATCCGGCCCTTAGCCCTAGGGCCCTATAAGTCATGCCAGCGTCAGCTTTGCAGGCCGGTCACCGCGACATCGACCCAGTGTTTGGCGAGGACGAAAGACTTGCAGTAGAGGACCGGCTAGGGGTTTTGTGGGTTTAGGGTTTGAGGGTTCAAGCGATTTTGCGCAAGTTTGCGATGTAAAAAGGGCTTTAGTGTTTGTTCTTGGGGGCTCCAAGTAGCTACTGGCCAAGCCCGCTGCATGCTACAAGGCTGCCATTCAGACTCCAGGCATAAACGTTCCGCCCTTATCAGCATTGGCAGGAAGCAGCAGTGGGAGGAAGAAACGGAGTTTCAAGGTGTAGGAGAGGGTGCTTTGCTTACTTGAGGGTTTGAAAGAGTAGAGATTCCAGGATGCGTCCGATCAAAGCCTGCAGGCCAAGTCAACCTAGTTCGTAAATCCGAAACCCTGAGGGCCCACAAGAAAGCCTGAGGTATGGTGTCATCAACTGATATATATATATATACACTGATATCGTGGTGTGAAGATGTCTGAATTCTTGGCAACCACAGTCTAACCGCGACGGCCCTCTGTCGCACCCAGACCCGACGGATCCAGGAGATGAGTCATTTCGACGGTGATCTTCCTGAGGAGCCAATGATGCGAAAGGCCCGAGAATCGTCGTAGGCGATGACAGGTTCTAAATGTCTACCTAGACCCTTAAATGTAGTTCCTTTTTTTTGGATGACCTATTTTAGGGTTAGGGTCCAATGAGAAAGTAAGGTAACCCAAAAAACGTACTAGATTTAAGGGTCTAGGTAGAGGCGTTTGCTTTGGAGCTCTTGGCGCTTAGATTCTAGATGCTTCGAGAGTCCGTTGAAGTTTGGGTTTTTGTGTTCTACGAGTTCGTACGGTTGATGTCTAGGCTTCTATGAGTCTAAGGAGTCTACCTCTGGAGGGTTTCAGATCTAATCTAGGTCCCCGAGTAGTACCCTTTTGCCCTTTTTATTTTAGGGCCCCCTTACTAAAACCGGATAGTAGGAAAAAGGGTACCCTTATTATAAAGAGGCTACTCAGGAACCAAGTAATTAAGGCCGATGCAACAAGCCCTCGATCCCAGAACTTCGAAGCACTTCCACAAAGCCACCTGTGGCAGGTCAACTCAACCAGCTCATTCCGCAAGCATGCGGTTCGTGCCCAGTCTGCTGAGCGGTTTTGAATACCATGCCGCGAGATGTGCTAGAAGCCTGAAGCCAGAATGCAACGATTCCCCTCGACTGGAGAGGGTTTCCCAGCCCCAATGGAAGCGAACGCTAGCCCATCATAGCCCAGGTTCCTGGTGCGTCTAGGGTGAGTAGATAATTCCAATTCGGGTAGTCATCAACTTAAAAATCATCCACGAAATGCACTGAGTCCCATGATCCTTAGAGCCAGCCGTGCCCAGTGGCACTTGAGCGTCCTTGGAAACAATTGGCGCAATCATTGGCATCACCTTGATCCGCATCTGCGAGATTTGGTGTGCAGCAGTGCACATCAGTGAAACGGACCTTTTGCTCCCGTGTTACAAGTAGCAAAACGTGACAGCGAGTGGCCTGGAAGTGTTTACAACTGCGTGTGTGTCTGTGTCAGAGAGAGAGTTAGAAGCACAGCTTCCTGTCTTCTGATTTGCTCGCATCTCAGAGCACTGTTATACCTCTTGGGCTGGTGACGCGTCAGTGCGACGTCTCTGCAGACACCCATTGCTTCTTTTGTGCTCAAACCTCTTGTTCGGGCTGCCTCCCTAAGCGGTTGCTTAGTGTCTTAACGTCTGAACTATGAGTGACATTCTGGTCTGCTGCAGCATGGTTTTTTGAACTCTAGGTGTGGCCATACTACACATCAGTTGAACTGGCTTTCAATCCCCACGGCTCCACACGCGTTATGGTCGCGACTGCTACTGCTAGTTGCTGCTGCTACTCCTGACACTTCCGCTGCTGCTGCCACTACTACTACTACCACTGCCACTACTACCACTACTACCTTACGACCACTACCACCATCGATGCTTGCCGCAGCCAAACCACTACCACTACCACTACCACTACCACTACCACTACCACTACTACTAAGAACAACTACTACTCCTAATTACTCCTACTCCTGCTCGGATTTTCTTTGGGGGGCCAAGATGACAAGACATCTTGTTCATCTTGACCGGAGGGGGGGTGGGGGGCAAGATGACGCATCATCTTGGTCATTTTTGCTGACCCAGACCGGGCACCAAGAGCACCACTGAACCACTTTGCCCCCTGTTTCTGTGGCCAATAACATTGCAAGTGGTGCAAGTCGCTTGTTCGGGGTGACCAAGACGACACATGATCTTGCCCCACCATTGGCATTACTGGCCGAGCAAAATGACCAAGACGATGCGTCGTCTTGTGCTGTCTAGCGGTTCTTGTTCCCGGAACACTGCTCATTCATCACACGCCAATCCCACGACTACGACGACAGTGACCGCTACTGCTACTGCTAGTGCTGCTGCTATTGCTACTGGTACTGCTGCTACTGCTGCTCTACTTGCACAAGTGCTCCCGCATTTCCCTTCGTACTTTTGCATGCTCTTCTGCATGTTTTTTTTCCCGACATTGGCATTCCACTTCGGCCTGGTAGCGCAAGCAATTGTTGTTCGTTGCCGCTGCTTCTGCCAGCTGCTGCCGCAACCATCCCGGATCATGCTAGTGACGCTGCATGGGCCTGCCTGATAGCGACGAAGATGACAGCGGTACTGACGATGATGTCACTAATGATGCTGCACAGTGATAATTAATGGCCACGGTGGCCAACCTGATACTGGTTGTTCATGATTGGGCATATCGCATCGTATCACAGCCTTCCCGCGGACAATTGAGGTGCCCGTCGCGAGCGAATTCGCGCAGAGCGGCGTGAGGAGGTCGACGACTTCTTGCAGAGGCACGGTGTATGCACGCTGTGCAACTCCGTAGGATTTGATTGCAAAGTTCGTTGTTGCTGCGCAGCTTTTGCACTGATTGGAAGTTCGCATGTTTTTGTTTTACAATTACGGGGTCAGACTGATATCATACAAAGGACTCGGTTGCGTCTGGGTCCGGGAAAGCTATGAAGCCCTACAGACTGGAGTCTGTACAGCAGGAACTTCAATGCAAGTTCGGCCCATGTCGGAGTTCTCAAGTGTCATCTCTCCGTCATGCAGACAACTCCCTCCCGACAAGCTTTAGAAGTTTAGGCTTTATTGCCACAACATATCTTATCATGGTACTCTGCCACTGCGTGTTGTTAATCACTAAGGAGCTTATATAGGTGTTGTAGTCAGATTAGGAAGCAAACTTGGGAGAAGATGCTCTTTGACATGCTGCCTTCGTGGTTACATATACTCCAAGACTCTCTGTGCCGCAACATATTCAAGAGGGTGAACACGTCCTTGGGTTGCGGGGAGATGTGAAATCTGACACAAACCAAACCTCAGACCCGATACCTTGATCCTTTTGTTGAATTGCGTTGCCGAAATCAGTTCGTACATGTTGTTGGTTTCTAGCCACGAAAGGGGGCTACAACCTGGGTTTCGCATCAAGTCTCCCGACTGCGAAACCAATTGTTGGAAACGCTATTCTCGCAGCTGCTGCAACTGCATGTGTAACTGCCTGTCATTTCTCCCCATCTTTGGTTACGATCCTGCTCTTTTGCGGTCAGCTGCATGAACACATTTGGATACTTTGGCCATGTGATTGCTGACTGTATTGTACAATTGAGTCTTGCAACGTTGCGTGACAGAGTATCCCCCCATCCATCCATTGCTTGTGGACTCGTCGTCGTCATACGAGGGTGTGTATTTATAGTTATGGGTCTCAGAGTGTTCGTTAGTTTTTGTTTGCTTTTCCCTCACGATAGCCATCACTCCGGATCAAGAGCGAAGTCCGAGGGGATGAAGGCTGGCACTAGGAACAGGCATCCCTCAATCAGCCATGCAAGTGCGGCCTTGTTTCAGGAACAACTTCGCTGGTGTCAATGCGCCACGCTCTCGCTCGGGATTCAGGTTGCTCTCGGAATCCGTTTTCCCACTCCACGTGGCAGCCCAGAAAGGTGCTCCGACAGCGTGCTGGCAGGCTTTCTGCTGTAGTGCTGAGATGCTCAAGAAGATTCGAACAAAGCTCGGCCTTTGAGGCTTTGGGGGAGCGAGGGAGGCTAGGATTTGTGCCAGTGCTCACGAGAGATCCAAACCGCTAGCAACTTGAGAGACACCCTCAGATGTTGTGCTGCATTTGCCAGTGAGAAGCGACAACAATGGTTTGTTTTCCGTTCGATTCCTTTGACACCCCTGCATAACTCGACGCTGTGTCCTGTCTTATTCTGAGCATTTCCGGTGTTGTCTCAGAGCCCGAATCCGTGAGCAGAGAGGTTTGCTAACTCTTGAGTAGCCGGAAAGCTCCAGTCACTCACAGCCCAAAAAAGCTAAGCCTAAGCCCTAAACCCTAAACTCAAAAATGCTAAGGAGATGCTCACATGGTACAAGAGCTTCTTCGAGAAAGGGCGGATCCCAACAAGAGGACCCTGGTGCGTCTCAAGCACTGGGAAGTTTATTGGGGCTTTAGGGTTTATTGGGGCTTTAGGGTTTATTAGGGTTTATTGGGACTTTAGGGTTTATTGGGGTTTATTAGGGTTTATTAGGGTTTATTGGGGCTTTAGGGTTTACTAGGGTTTAGGGTTTAGGGTTTTAAGAGTTTTAAGGGTTTAGGGTTTAGGGAAGTTCAGGGTTCAGGGATTTAGGGTGCAGGGCTTAGGGGTTTGCTACGGCGTGGTGTGCAATGCCATGCTCCTCAATCTCTGAAGCGGCCGAATTCGAATCGGGTTTTCGATGGCTGCAGGTTCGGTGACAGATTTTCCGGGCCAGCGATTCGGTTCGCCGAATCGAAGGATCTGTTGGGCCCCTCGTTCGATGGCTTCTGCAAGCTCCCCCCGTTCTCAATCCAATTCCTGGCCCCGTCCCTTGGTCGGTCTGCTCCTTTCGTGACCCCTTCGGGTATCGACACTGGCACCCTCCTTTCGTGGCCACCTTCTTTCGTGGGCCACCCTTTTTTGTGATCCTTCCTTTTGCGGCCCGCTCCTTTCGTGGCCCCTCTTTTCACGGCCCCCTCCTTTGGCCACCTCCAATTTCGCGGCCTCCTCCACCTCCTTTTTGGCGACCCCGCTCCTTTCACGGGTAGGAGCTGTGTTTCTGCATCGTGAATGTCTGTGGACCCTGACATGGTGGACACAACACAGACGAACACCAACCTTGAACCCTATACCCTACCCTAAACCAACAAGGAGGGCCTCGGAACAAACGAGGAGGGGGGAAGCAAGCCGCACCGGACCTGTAGAGCTCAGAGTGTCCCTCTTCCCTCCAAGGGCTCGACGACCAGAGGGACTTGGATGATGGAAGCTTGAATGGATGCAATAGAGTGACAGTGAGGATGCTTAGGCTGTGATGATCAAGTGGGTGTACATGCAGTGCAGTGACTTTGGTGTTTTGATAGGAAAGGAGTGCAGGGTTGTGAAGATCGCAGCTTGACCTAATTGGCCAATGCGCCTTTGTCGCGCCGGCTGAGTCCCAGATGTGAGCGCCGAGAATTTCATGGTTTTGGGATCTTAGAGCTGCAATCAAGCCTGTGTAGAAGGGATTAAGATCTGGGGTGGGAGCTTCAAAGCTTGGGGTAATTCCGCAAGCTATGTAGTATCACATAGGTTGCTGTGAGTGTGTGCGAAGCGAGCACCCGTCGGTCACGCAGTTGCGGCGCGGTGCAAATATTCGACTCAGGCCGAGTTCCTTCCGAAGCAGGCTGAAATTCGAGTTGCTGGTCAAATTGCAGTCTTCCGCACAGGACCTCTTCCGGGCGTACGGCGTCGGACATGGCAAATGCAATGAATCAGTTTGGCTCGCACCGTATGGTCTCTTGGCTGAAGTCGGCTGCCACGTAGTACAGATTGGCTTTTTTGCGAAAACTCATATGTCTGTTATTTGGTTTCGTAGTCAACTTCTTTTGTATCATATTTTATCAGTTTATGTTCTGTTGTATTATCATCTATCGCAGTACTGTATGCTATGTGAAAGTCTCTTAAGCGGCATTAATTTCGTGATTGAGGCTGTGCTAGTGTACAATCCGTCAGGTTATGCCGTAGTATGAACAGTTTGGTCACAATGAGCTATGCTATCCCGCATCATGCCGTGCTATGTTATACCATACTATATGGTATGTTGAATTGCTCTTGGCTTTTATTTTGCAATTATTGGTTCAGTACAGTCTCGTTGTGTAGCTACCCCCATTTACGTTTACAGTGGTTGTTTCGTTCCATTTATGGCTACCCCGTGTTTATATTCATCGTAGCCCTTCTTATCTCGTCTTACCCGTTTGTCTTTATCTGCTGCGACTATCGTGAAACATTTTGAAAGACCATCTGTCTTGTTTGTTTGTATTATCTTTTGTTTTTTATGCAATGTTTTCATTGCCTTATATGATCACATCTTACACCATATTAAAGGACATTATGCCACATAAAAACATACTTTTACTTTCGACTTGAAGTTAGTATGGTTGTTTTGGTTAACGGTTCCTTTGTATCATACTCGGTTGCAGCAGTTCATGGAGTTTCATGGTTTATCTTATCTTGTACATGTGTTCTCGTTCGTTTGGTTTGCATTATGCAGTAGTCTGTTCGTTCAGTATATGTGGGGCTGTATTGTGTTGCATGTGATTGTATCTGTATGAAATACAACGGAATTTATCGTCATGGTAGTACAGTATATTACTGGAAAACAGAATATATTGTGACATGGTGCCAGATTGCATAACATAATACTACATATACCATGGTAATTGTATGGCATGGCATGTTATGATAGAGTAGCAGTTTATGGCAACATATTTTGATAGAGCACAATATAACACACTAGAACAGAATATATTATAGTATGATAGAACATAACAAAATACGACATGATCTGATATGGTAGCGGTAATAGAACATAATATAGTTCACAAAATGGAAAATGGCATTGCGCCAAGTATTTCAAGGCAATGTACGACGTAAGATACTACATCAAAACATAGTATTCTAACCAAATATAGTAATTTCATGTAACAAAATACTAATGTACACGCACAGGTACATGTACAATGTTGACTGCTACATGTACGACAGGGTGTGTGTATGTATGTGTGTATATATATATATTTATGTATACAATACATGTGTTCGTGTCTCTGTGCATACATGCAGTGCAACAACTTGACTTGAGCGGAGTTTTATCAGAGTCGGGTTGGCGAACAGAAGCTCCTGCGTGCTCCCTCGGCTCTGCATACGTGCTTTGCGAAAGACGAATGTCAAGTGCATACTGACACCGTTGTAGCTTCTCTAAGTGGAGAGTCCTCGTCAACTGAAAACCCCCTTGAAGAACTCGAGGCAGCACCTTGAACCCAGAAGTCTGCTGGATGGTTCGCAAGAGCTCGTCGTCTTGGCTGTTAGGGTCTGGGACTTCTAGGGCTGCAGTTTTCGCGAGCGGTCAACTTTTATCCAAGGCTCCAGGCCAGTAATCCAGGGACTCCTATGCCCCCCTTGTCTCGAAATCCCCCAGGCGCCTAACCCCTTTGCCCCCCAGCTCTTCACCACAGAAGCCGTGTCAACCCAATATCCTAACCCGCAAAATTAGGTTCACTTAGCAGGTGCTCGAGATCCTGTCCGGACGGTGGAACACCATGAGCTTCCGTGACCTGAGAGCCATTTCAGGCCAGAGCGCCTAGAATTTTGCAGATGTTCTGCTATTTAAGAGGTTCGGCTTTTTCGGGCAACTCTCCTGCACAGCGAGGGGACGGTCCGACTAGACATTGCTGCATCTCGCGGTTCTCCCCCTTTTCTATTTCATTCCAGGGGGTTCGCTCACCGGCAATACCGGACGAGCCACCGCATGATTCTAAATGAAGTGGCCATTTGCCACAGGGAGTTAATTGGACAACAAGGTCGACGGTGTATAGCAAATACACAAACAGCTTGTGTAAGATATTACTCATTATATGTGTATACATATATATATATATTACATCATATCACTTTGTAGTGTATATATACACAACATACAGTATAATTGTGCATTATACTGAGTTGTATTTTATCAAGCCATATTGTGTCACATTATCTTGTATTATGTACTTTGTAGTGCATGTTGTTATTTCAATTTATACATTAAATCGTATACGATACTAAGATATAATATAGATTTCACGCCATTATCAATCGTAATAGATAGATAGGTAGATAGATAGATAGATTGATCGATCGATTAGTTTTGTGCATTATTCCATATATTGCTTGTAACATTTTGTTATATATTGTACTGTTTATTTTGCATTTTGTTATACTTTTGATAGTATACTATTGTATATTACTATTTACATTATACCATGTTAAATGTATCATCGTATAGTCTAGTCTAGTATAGTCTAGTCTAGGAATTACCGTACAATGTAGTATCTTATAGTATTGGTTTGTACAGTATAATTTGCACCTTATGATAACACACTTATAATAGTTAATAAGGTTACTCGCGATGGCTCGAAGCCACGAGCGGAGCTTCCTGCAGCCTTCCTGCAGGATGCAGATGCTGCTGCAATCGAAGATTCAGGCAGAGCACTGCAATTAGTAGAATACTGGCAAATCTGCCGTAGAAGCGACTGTCTATTTATTTTTCGAGTGTTCTGATCCCCCGGCTCCGGCAGCAATTCTTGCGTGCGTACCTTGGCCGTACATGTGAATCTTCTTGCACAACATATCGCACTCCGGGACAACTCTTGTATGAAGCCAGCGCGCAGCCAACATTGCCGTGCGGGCCTGCTTATCGATGTCACAAGCCATGACAATGATCGATCAGAGCCGTTGAGAGCTTGATCACGGGGATTGGGCGCTCAGCAAGGCATTTTTCTATACACTCCGGTTTGTGATCAATCACGCAAGCCAGCCGCTCTGCTGTCTTGCTCCGGAACAAAGCTTAGGAAATGGACGCCCGAAATAAACGAGACTTGACAACCTGGCTTGGCTGAGAGCTACCTTGAAGTCGAAGTTGGCATCTAGGACCGGAGCGAAGTAGAGCGGTAGACCCTACATCAAATTTAAATGCTGTTCGTTTGCGAGGGCGCAATCCACATACTATCTTGGCGCTACTTACCTTATCTTGGTACGGACAGTAGAGCACACCAAGCCTGAATAGCCAAGTGATGCTTAGAATGGTTGTGCTGCCAATAGTGAGGGCACCGCAGGAGTATCAACATCTGAGGCGAGGTGGGAACAGAATCTTGGCAGCTTCGTTCACAGAAGCTCCTACCTGAACTCTTAACCCGGGGCCCCCTAAACCTGATAATTACGCTATATGCACGTTGATCAAGAGGAGCCTGATGTAGCTCGTCCTCCTTGTATCATGTGGTGGGATGCTACATTGCTGCTTGCGCTGTTGAGCCGGTCAGCATGGCATGCATGCAGGACTTCTGCCATATCATACGGGGCAAAAGCAGCCCTTATAGAAAGGCTTCATAAACCTCTGCATAAGCCGGCCGATGAAAAACCACGTTTAAAGGCTTTCGGTTTTAGCGGGTCAAGGGATCTATATTGGTTTTGGGAATTACGGCTTGGGTTTCCGTATTTAGGTTCACAGGTTTATGTAGGGTTTTGGGGTTTAGTAACATTTAGGGCTCGTGCGATGTAGGAGCTTGCACGCGAAGGTGACGACCAGCTTCAATTCAATGGCTATACGGCTCTTCAGAGTGCAGCATTGTTCTATGTTCGTGTGAGATCCTTTGCTGCTCTAGCTCCTCCAGCGAGGCTCCTCTGACGACATTTTGCTTTTGGCAGCAGGAAATAGGCAAGGCTTTCTCAGATTCGTTGAGCCGTTCAAGATGGAGGGAGCTGGCAGTTCAGAAAGGTACAGATGTCTTTAAATTGTTTTTGTGCAGTGTAGCTGTGTGCGCTTAGCTGGACAGTCCCAGCACAGGCGCAGTAGGTTTCCTCTTGGCATCGTGTCGTGGGCAGAATCAGGACATGAAGTATAGCAGGCCTTCATTAGTGTCTTCTCGTGACATTGACATGATGACCTTCTCAGTTTCTCCAGGACCACCGCTCTTGTGAAGCTCGGCTCGAGGATTGATAGCTACGCAACGTCTCCGCTGTGTCGGTATTTTTGCTGGGCCCTTCAGTGCTCGCTGTCCAGCCTCCTGTCTGGTCTAGAGCAGCAGAGCAGCGGTAGGAGCTGTTGTTCAAAGGCATGGGGATGGGCTAGGCTTTATACCATTGCAGAGGCTGACACTGGGCATTGTGCCAGCTTTCACAAGATTTTGTTTGCCATTTCCAACATGGACTGTTCTTCGGCCCGTGGGTGTATCCGTTTTCAGATGTCCGAAACGCGATCCAGTCTTCTTTCTCAGTTGGGTTCTATTGGAGTTTTGCTCTAGGAGTCTGATGGCATACACACTCTTGGCTTGTTTTCTCGGCATCTGAAGCTGGGCAGCTCAGTCGTTGCTACTGTCACCGATGTTTTGAACTTCTATGGGCCCAGTCGCCCAGTCGGTTATTCCGCAGGGACCTCGTGCAGTGCTCGCTGTCCAGCCTCAGTATTTGGTGACAAGTCTCCGGCCTAGGCCTGTATCGTGAGTTTCTGTTCAAAGGCATCCCTAAACCCTAAATCCCTAAACCCTAAAGCCCTAAACCCCTAAACCCTGAATCCTAAACCCTAAAATGGGCCTGCAGATAGGCCAGGCTGATGGTTTTGTCGAGGCCGACACTAAGCATTGTGCCAGCGTTCACGATCGTTTCCCTCAACAGGTGGGCAGCGATACCGTTCTCCAATTTCTGTAGTCCACGTTGAAAGCATGGGCTCGCGCTCACCAGGCTTTCCCAAGAGTCCCGACGATACGATCCTGTCTTCTTTCTCCTTGGGTACTATTCGGGCTGGACTTTTTTACTCATGGGTTTTAGCACAGGCTTACTGAGCCTTATCAGCTCAGACGGTACTAATGTCTATTGTCATCACTGCTCTCAGAAACATCTCCATCATGGTCGTGACCCTGGTCACCACCATTACCTTCACCACCAACATCATCATCAGCAGCAGCATCAGCGCCCTCCATCTCCCATGTACGCATATGACCGTTGCAAAGCAACATCTCCATCGCACACAACAGGCAGTGTACCCATAAGCCACGCTCCCTATGCCTCCCCTGATATCGGATCTGCCTAGTTACACTCGATGTTGGAAGACTCTTCACAGGATGACATCTGGTCTCGCGCTTAAACTCTCAACGGACACGTCACCGCAGAAAACCGTGAGTTGAGCTCAACGCCCGGGGTCTAAAGCAACAAATTTCTGCGTTTGAGGCTTTGTGGACTCATTCCACCAGTCCTACCGCGGAAATCCTGTTAAACCCTTAAGACCCTTTTAACTGCTACGACCGAGATGCAACCTATCGAAAAGCATTTGGCTCCTTCTATGTGTTATGATTTTTGGTTTGCGGGGCTTGGGTTGGGGAACCGGTTTAGGGCTTCCGAACAGCGAACCTGGTAAGTATAGCCCGCCAGATACAGACGACTTGTTGGAGGTATCGCTTCCTCCACCGCGGCGCCCCTCATGTTTTTCTCCCTAAGCCCTGAAACTTGAACGCACCAACCCTAAACCCGTCCCTGACCGTCCTGCACTTGTGAGCCTCTGATTATTCTTCACAGCCACGGAAACTCTCAGGCATGAACCTTGAAGCCTCAAGCCCAGCAGAAGTAGCGAATAGAGCAGGGCCCGAAACAAATCGAACAGTTGTCCGTATGGTTCGCTACCATACTTATACTATAATATATATATATACATAATATACATATATATATATCTCTCTCTCTCTCTCTCCCAAACACCCTGTTCCAATTATGAAGACCACAATATCAGCGAGAACCTGAAGACCAAAACAGCAAGATCTGCCCTGAGGATGGCCTGCCCCCGATCGAGACTCCCTTGCTCTCATCGGATCTGCTCCGATGGGGTTGGGCCCCCGGACAAGATGCCCTAAACCCTAAACCCCTCAACCCTAAACCCCCAAACTCCTAAACTCCTAAACCCCTAAACCCCTAAACTCCTAAACCCAAATGGGCAAAAGCTCGGTGCGAGATCCGGGGGTTCAGGGTCCACGGTGCTGAGAGGGGCCTACGGAGTGGAGTGTAGGGTTTTCTGCTGAAACCCCAAATTCTTGGGATATGAAAGCACAAATTTCCTGCATGGCCTCTGGGAGTGGGTTTGACCCACTTCAAGCTTGAAAAAATCCAAGATTTGTAAATTCCAACTTGGGTTCTCATTCCAACTTCAATTTCACGACTGAATTTGGAATGTGCATTCCAACCTGAGCTTTACAAATGCAACCTCATGTGTTGCACGTGTGACGCTTGGGTCACCAGGAAGGTTCACACATGTGAGTTATGTGTGAACCCTCCTTTGACATTAACCCTCCTTTTGATCTGGGTCTTTCATGTGTGAACCCTTCTTCTGGACCTTGCTCACCTCTAGCGGGCGCTCGCAAGAGCATGCCGTGGGAGTCACGACTTGTGTCCGCCCCAGTGACAAAATTTTGGAACGAGAAGCTGCAAAGGCACTTGACAGGAAATGAAGCATTTTAGGAAAATGCTCCACTTGCAAACCCCCAAGAGCTTGCACAATTGAGAAGCTTCATCGATTGTGAATCCGCCATAAGTTGCCGGAAATAGGCCGACTTAGGAAGACATC